ATATATATATATATATATATGCTTGGAAAGTTTAGCGTTTAAAATGTCAGCATCTGTGCTTTCTTCAACCGATGTTTTAGCGTTTAAACTCTGTTGTTTGGCAGGGTTAAAAGAAAGAAAGAAGTACTTGGAAAAGTGAGTCCTTTGCCGAATTATGCATTCTCAGAATTGTAAAATTTGCTAGGTTGTTGTATAAAGAAAAAAATAACTTAAGTAGTAAAAAGAACTATTTTTGGTAGAATCACTTGCTCTATAAAAAGTTTAAAATTAGTGGTTTTATTTCGCCCGACTGCCTTTAGAGTGACTGTACGCGTTTAATAGCGGCGAAGCCGCCTTCAGTTGGTCCTTAAAGCCACGAAGAGAGGCCACGAAAATTCATTATGCGTTAATTGTTTTAAATTTGTACAAGTAGTTGTATTCTACTCCAAAATTTCAACCAACTAGGATTCCGTAAAGTTGTAGGGAATAGTTTCTACTTTGGTGTTTTCCACTGCTCAACTTTTTCTGACCGAAACTGCGCAGCTACAAATGTTTTGGCATTACGAGGAAGTCTAAAAAGGTACTGCTTTAGCTATTTAGTTGTGGACTTCTGATTTTCCTAAAATTTTTGTTCCCCGATTATTTATACAAGTAAAGGGCATTATTACAAAGAAGAAACCCGAGTTATGTCTATTTGTATAACTAAAACGTTGATGAGTTAACCTATGAACACGTTTCCAAAAGCTTAAGTTTTTTTTCTTCCCTAGATTTTTGAACTCCGGAATAAGGATCTTTGTACTCTATTCATCGTTTGCCATCATAATTCATCATCGTAGGGATTCTTGTCACATCAAACATTATTGGTGTCCCCAAGTTTTGTCAGTTGAGTGCATCTCGTTGATACTCTCATCCCACTGCGACATGAAGGAGGCCATAGAACGTTAGAATAAAGGCAACTTTGTGTAATGCTGATGAATAATAAATTTCTAATATTTTAAAGTAAAACTTTTTTTTTTGTAATAAGTCTTTAATGACAAAAAATGCCGTAATTTCATGATTGCTCTCAGTGGCTTTCTGAAACAGCTGAAGATGGTTTCGCCAATGTGAAATGCGTGCGCTTACTCTGAAGGGAGTCGAGCAAAACAAAACCACCAATTTAAAATTTTTTTATAAATCAAAAAAT